GGCTCCCGTGACACGTAATATTTTTGTGATGTCGTTTAGGTCGTCTTGCATGAAGATCGAGTCTACCCTTAACAATGGCTTCGTTATCGTTGTCCTGATGTTACCGATACCCCCGTCTGTACTTTCTGAGTTGTTATCCGTGTTAGGAGATACTCCGGGAACGACATTTCTCGCCATTTTGCGTTATACTCTTCGTTTTTTCGCTCTAACACTGACAACCTTCTGGTAATCAATCTTCTGCTGACGAGAGACCCTAAGTCAGCAAGCTCGTTTTCAAGTTGTCTTATTTTTATTTGGATATATGCGTACCTACCACAAGGCTCATCCTAGTACCTCACACCTCCGCAGAATTACGCCTATGGTACCCTTTGCTGGAAGTTGGCTGGAAGCGTAAATAGAGCGAGTGCAGATTTCGGACGGGAAGGGTACCTCACCAGGCTTATCTTCTAACCAGGTGCGGGGCTGGCCGTGCAACTACAGTTTGATTGCCGAGATTCTATAAAGGTCCGAATTGGAGAATAGGCATATTGTCGCTTTCGAGATTATAAAGAATACTTCAGTGAGCGAATACTTCAGTGAGCGAAAATGTACTTAAACTGTGATAAATTGTGTAAATTTTATACATAAACGACACAGCTGCTTTCAGTTCTCAAAGGACTGGAATAAATTCGATATTGTGCTCACCCCTCCCCAAAGTGGGCCGTGTTGGATAGTGGGATTTTCTGACAATGAGTTCAACTGCTTTGGTTAAATAGAAAACGTTCTTCAAGTACACCTCAGATATTTTGGAGATTTGCAAGGAGTTTAACCTTATTAGCGCTTCGCTTACCGCACTGCATATAGTACCGAGGATTGCGAATAGAAAGCTAACTAAAGGTACACACTTAGCTGTGAAGACAAGGTAATAGGCATTGCATAAGCGAATGTGGAATTAGTGATCAAGAGGGGTTCTTTTATGTAACTGTTTTGCGCCGCGCCAGCCGTGCGTGTGTGGTGTAGCGGTTAGCATGGCTGCCTTCCAAGCAGTCGATCCGGGTTCGACTCCCGGCACACGCAGGACGCATTTTCACCCCTTTCCAGCTGGGAAGCCCTTTTGAGTGGTGATGGAACTCCCCCAAGTGGGTCGAGACCTCTGACCCATTTTTCTTCCCACTTCGGCTCTAGAAGATGTGTTTGATGGAATTACAAGATTTTGCATTTTCAGGGAAATATGTGTTCCTCTGACAGTCATTACGTAGGAAATTGCGTGGTAAGGAAGAGGAAAATTCAAACAGCATAGCCTATACGGACATA